AGGGGCGTCCCTGCATCCGTTCCATCCAGCCACTGTTGAAGCAAGAGACAGATCCGTGGGGCATACTGCAGGAAACCAAACTATTTTTGTAGTGGATTGCAGTGCAAGTTACAGCACACTCTAATCGGCCAAAAATCACCACACACTTAGAATGGGTCGCTATCCTGGTGGGAAAATTATACGTCAATAAAGCTGTTGTAAACAAGAGCCCAGCCCCCTCAGGCCTTAAGAGGGATCATTCGGGGCATACTTTCCACTGTTCTTCTCCACAGATGTCCCATGGGATTCAGCTCCAGATCCATGCTGGCAGTTGGCTTAACACACACTCCTTATTGGCTGCCTTTCTTCCCAACATCACCTTCTCACAGAACATGTACCCAAGAAACTAATTGTGCTAGAATCCTTCTCTAGAGGTCTATTTCTGGAAGAACCCAAACCAAGGGCAGGATATGTTTTCATTTTGTACTCTTCTGATAGTTAAAGAAGAAGTGGTAAAGTTGGTGCCAGGATCAGGGTTACTGATGACATTTCAAAGAAAGGTTAAGAAAGCCAATCTGGGGAAGGACTTGATGACGAGCCAGGAGAGAGTTTAGTTGAAGACAGGCCAGGAAAAGGCATGTCCCAGGACAGTAGGTCTCCAGGGCACTGAGAAGCCCTTGCTGGGATGTAAGTTCTTCCCAAGGCTTACTGCTAAAGTAGGACGAGAACATTCCCCTGATGCGGGACAGCTGTCAGGAAACTGCAAGCACCTTTGTTCAACTGCCAGGCCTCTTAGAAATAAGCCCTTGGATTACAATCAAATTTAAAACTCTACTTTTGTTGCCTCGGCACAATCAATATACCTCCCCTTTCACAATGCACACTAGGCAGGAAGAAAGCAACTATCAGAGCTCAAAAGCCACCACGGTTGCTTGGGTGGAAATTGCTAACCACAGAGAGTGATGGAAAAGAAGGAAATACACCTAAGTAGGATTCCACTTTTCAATTTAAGTGTTTTAAAACTTTCTATATATGCATGGAATACACACGCTAATGTTGCATTTCAATTATTCTAAGGAGTAATAGTTTACACTTTAATATCTCTGCCATTGAGGCATATCATACAACTGACATAAATCATATTGAATGGATTTTAGTGGTAAATAAAATATTACAGGTTAAAATTAACAAATACACTTTATATACAATGTGACAAGATTTTTTGGCTCCTTAAGTATTAAAATGCCTCTTTCTTGGCCTCTACCTTTTCAAAGTATTACTTTGAGACCGAAGTGAATCAGGACAAATACTTTAATTTTTCAGATTTACTGTTAACTCTAACAAGGTGAAGTTCAGCTTCAAGATTATGTGGCAGATGTTCCTAGCATTTAAAGCACATAACCAATTTAAGCATCTGACTCTGGATTTCAGCTGAGGTCATGATCTCATGGTTTGTGAGATTGAGCCCCACGTCGGGCTCTGCACTGACAGCACGGAACCTGCCTGGTATTCTCCCTCTCTCTCCCTCTCCCTCTGCCCATCCCCCAGCTCGTGCAGTCTCTCTCAAAATAAATAAATATTTAAAAAAATAAAACGGGTGCCTGGGTGGCTCAGTCGGTTAAGCATCCGACTTCAGCTCAGGTCACGATCTCATGGTTTGTGAGTTCGAGCCTCACATCAGGCTCTGTGCTGACAGCTCAGAGCCTGGAGCCTGCCTCAGAATCTGTCTCCCTCTCCTTCTGCCCCTTCCCTACTTGCACTCCGTCTCTCCCTCTCAGAAATAAACATTTAAAAAAATAAAAATAAAATAAAACATATATCCAATATACAATTAACATCAAGGAAAATTTATCCAGTAATTCCCACAGCCCAGCTCATGAAGTATTTGTTTTCAACTGTTCTACACAAGAAGTTTTACTTCATCTGACATTTTTCATTAAGAAGGCAAATCACACTGAATTTGGCCCAAGTAAAGGCTTTATTCATTTCAGCTTTCTTGGAAGTGAAAATAAGTCATCCTTTGCCTTAATAAATGCATCTTTTCTCTTTCTGCATCTGAGGGGACCAAGACAACCCAGAACACCAAATATTCCAGACCACTGTCAATCAGGAGTAGCAAAGCAGATGGTCATACCTGGGGGGAAGGGGAAGGCGCTTTAATTCTGGATTCAATTTCCAAGTGACTCAGAGTATTCCCTTCCTGCCCTTCTGTTCCATTCTCCCTTGACCAACTAAAGAAAGGAAACCAGGGCCAGGGATGTCTCCTTCATCCTTTCCCTTTTAACACCTGCTTGGGTTCGTTGAAATTTAAACCCTGGCAATGTTCATTCAGCCTTGAACTTCAAACTTAGAATCGACATGACTTGGGAGTAGCCGTGAAAAAGGTCCAAACACATTTCTGCTAGAGCTCAGGTGAGTAGTTCTCAAAGAGTGAATTAGACGGTGATGCTTACATCCATGAGGTGGAGGTTCAGGGGAGAATCCATCTCGTAGGCACCAAGAGAGGGTTTCGTGAACTCAAAGATCGGTTGGTGCCATGATAGAGCCAAAGGCAACATGTAAAGGTTTAAAACCCAGTATATCCTGTTGCTAAAAAAAGGACACAAACCCCCAAATAGACATGGGGTGGGATAATACAGTCTTTAAGATGCTGCTTTAGAGACAAGAATATACAATGGAGAAAGGATAAGTCTCTTCAATAAATGGTGTTGGGAAAACTGGACAGCTACATGTAAAAGACTGAAACTGGACCACTTTCTTACACCACACACACAAAAATTAAACTCAAAATGGATTACAGACCTAAATGTGAGATCTGAAACCATAAAACTCCCAGAAGAAAATATAGATAATTTCTTTGACATCTGCCGTAGCAACATTTTTCTAATATGTCTCTTCAGGCAAGCAAAACAAATCAAAAACTAACTATAGAGGCTACACCAAAATAAGAAGCAAAAGAAACCATCAACAAAACAAAAAAGGCAACCTACCGAATAAGAGAAAACATTTGCACATGATATAACCAGAAAACGGTTAGAATCCAAAATAGAGAGAGAGGGGCGCCTGGGTGGCTCAGTCGGTTGGGTGTCCGACTTCAGCTCAGATCATGATCTCACAGCTCGTGAGTTCAAGCCCCACATCAGGCTCCATGCTGACAGCTCAGAGCCTGGAGCCTGCTTCGGATTCTGTGTCTCTCTCTCTTTCTCTACCCTTCTCCGTTCATGCTCTGTCTCTCTCGGTCTCAAAAATAAACATTAAAAAAATTTAAAAATATACATATAGAGAGAGAACTTCTATAACACGAAAAAAATAATCCAATTAAAAATGGGCAGAGAACACGAATGGACATTTTTCCAAGGAAGACCCACAGATGGCCAAAAGACACATGAAAAGATGCTCAGTATCTCAGTGTCATCATTAGGGAAATGCAAACCAAAACCAGAATGAGGTATCACTTCATTGGCTAGAATCAAAATGACAGTAACAAGTGTTGACAAGGATGCAGAGAAAAAGGAATCTTCATGCATCATTGATGGGAATGCAAATTGGTACATGCATACATGTATACGAGATTCCTCCAAAAATTACAAATACAAATACTGTATGATCTATATAATTCCACTACTGGTATTTACCTACAGAAAATAAAAACACGAATTCAAAAATATCTACACACCCCTATGCTTACTGCAGCATTATTTACAACAGTTAAGATATGGAAGCAACTCAAGGGGCCATGCATAGATTAATGGATAAAGAAGATGTGGTATATACACATAGTGGAATATTACTCGGCCATAAAACACAATGAGATCTTGCCATTTGTGACCACACAGATGGACCTAGAGAGTATAACGGTAAGTGAAATGAGTCAAAGAAAAACAAATACCATGTCATTTTACTTATACGTAGAATCTAAAAAACAAATGAATAAACGAAAAGCAGAAATAGACCATGAACACAGAGAACAAACTGATGGTTGCCAGAGGAAAGGGGGTGGGAAGAGAAACAAGATGAGGGAAGGGGAGTGGGAGATACAGGCTTCCAATTATGGAATGAATAAAATTCCTGGAGATAAAAGTACAGCACGGGGAATATAGTGGATGCTATTGTAATAGTGTTGCATGGTGGTAGATGGAAGCTACACTCAGGGTGAGCAGAACGTAATGTAAGGAGAAATTTAATCACTAAGTTACACCTGAAACGAACCTAACATTGTGTAACAACTATACTCAAAAAAATTAAAAAGTTGCTGCTTTTGTCCTAAATTCTCTCTACTCACCACAAATGGAAGCATAAATAAATACTGATACTCCTCTTTCAAGACTCTAAATGGGAAAGCACTTTTAAGAATTTTTTACATTTTCTTCAAGTTTGTTTATGTACCTAAAGAGAGACAGAGACAGCAAGGGAGGAACAGAGAATGAGAGGGAGAAGAGAGAGAGAATGCCAAGCAGGCCCTGCACTGTCAGCACAGAACCCAACATGGTGCTCGATCCCACGAACCACGAGACTATGACCTGAGCCAAAATCAAGAGTCAGATGCTTAACTGACTGAGCCACCAAGGTGCCCCAGTAATTTTAAGAATTAAAAAAAATTTTTTTAATGTTTATTTTTGAGACAGAGACAGAGCATGAGTGGGGGAGGGGCAGAGAGAGAGAGAGAGAGAGAGACACAGAATCTGAAGCAGGCTCCGGACTCTGAGCTGTCAGCACAGAGCCCAACATGGGGCTCGAGCTCGTCAACCACGAGATCATGACCTGAGCCAAAGTCGGATGCTCAACCGACTGAGCCACCCAGGTGCCCCAACACTTTTAAGAATTTTAAACGCAAAGACAGAGGACCCCTTGAGACAGAGAAAAACTTATAGGTCAATATTGCTATTAATAGTTTCTGGGTGGAAAAAAAAATGGTCTCTTTTGGGAAAATGTAATCAAATACAGGAAACAGAAGAGATCATAGATTATTACACATGACACAAGACAAGTAAAAATACAGTGACTTTATTTCCATCATCTTACAATCCCCAGTATCACATCTGGTAAGAAGCATCATTTCTATAAACACAAAAATATTTCAAGAAAGCATGTTACAAGATAGTATATGTAAGCAACAGTTTGGCAGAATTTTATCAACTCTAGTAGTTCACAGACCCCTCCCCCCAAAAAAGCCAAATTTTAAAATTCAAAAATAACAGTTAGCTTTATTTAACATATGTTACACCTTAACACTTAAAATATCATGCTCTAGTTAAATATTTCATCAACAACACTGTATACAAATAAAATATTACACAAAATATATTTAAGAAAATGTTTTGGTCTTTGATCTGAACAATAAATAAAAACACAGGCACTTCTACACGGAGACAGGGAAGCAGTCACTACTCAGAATAATTTTGTATACGTGACATGTGGAAATATGGCAAGAATAGAATCCTGGAGTTTTAAACTGACAATCCGTTCACGAGAAGGTCTGCAATTTCAATCTTTTCACTTGAAGTTCAGAAATTACAAATGCCTTCCTGGTCCACATCGAAAATTCCTAAGCACAATATGGCTGCCAGGGTCAATTCAATCTTCTGATGGCCATTATGGAATCATACTCATGATCTTCAAATACTAAAATTAGAGAATTATCACGGTACCACCCAGCAAACCAAATATCAGGACTGTTAAGCTTTCTCCTTAGTACGGTCGTAAGACCATGTAACAAGGTAAACCGGATAAATGTCACACAGTGATTCTCATTTTGCAAAATTAACTGACCTACTAAAACAAGAAAATACTGTTGGGGTGGCAGGAAATTTTGACAGAAGTTAATTTCTGTAGCCGATTTTAAAAATTCATCCAAATTTCATGAAAATGAATGGAATTGCACTTAACAAAAACCACCGAATCATGTATAACAAGGTCTTTGTAGCCAGCATGTCTATAAACACCTAAGTTGCAGATAATTCAGTCATTATAATGGAAAGTAAGAATACTCTCTCTCATACGAGGGCAAAACATAAATAACCTAAACCTGGAAATTCCAGAAACATAAATGATTTCAGCTAAGAAGGAAGGCAAATTAGGAAACAATGGCCACTAGCCATAGGAAGGACTGGAACCAATTTTCCCAGCATATCCTCTGTGAAAAGTTAACAATCTTCCGCTTTCCCTCTTCAGAAAGTACCACACCAGAGGGTATAAAGGCCCTCAAATGGATACTACTAATGAAGGCAGTTCTGATGGTTTAACATAGGTATTACCCCTAATGTGAAAGAACACAACATGGGAACTATTCAAGATATGTCTTTCTATGCAAAACTTAGTTTGTATCTATTTCAGCAATTTAAATGAGCATCTTGCAACCGAGACCAGATATCAATCATCTCTTGAGGTTTTCTACTATGTACTAACATCAAATCTACATAGGAACAAATGTTATTCTTGTTTTTCTCTTCTATATCAAATGTCTTGAAACCTTTGTGTTTCTCTGGAACGAGGCCGAGTTTCTGAAGGCACATTCCAGTATAAACATCATCAATGGGGTAGAGAAGGACCCGGTCGGTTATATTGTACAGCCTCAGGGCCAGGTGGCCAGAGTAGAGGAATCCACCTCCCCCTGCATAAGGCGGATAGACACCAGTGTAAACAACTTCTGGGATGTAGTACTTCAGTTTCTTATCCCGATGAGGTCCAGCATTGTGGATCACGTCACCTATAAACAAATCTTTGGCTTTGTTCTTGGATAAGCTATTCAAGTAATTCAGGATGTGATGCGTGTTCACAAAAACATCGTCATCGCCCTTGAAAACGAACTCGGCATTTGGGCAGGAAGTGCTCACCCACCTGAGAAAGAGCACTTCTTTCAGGGACAAGTTGAAGAAAGTGTCTCTGTAGTTCCACATAAGAATGTCTTGGTGCTTCTCACTCTCGAATTTCAACATATCTGACAGGTCCGGGTGGTTGTCCTCTGGCGGGGTCTGACCCAGTAAGAAGACTCGCACTACAGTTTGGTTCCCCACGTTGGTTTCTCTGCCCCAAGATTCCCGAATTGCTTGCCTTCTAGCAAAATGCGGAATGAGGGACTTTATAGCCAGTAACAAGAAGGGTTTCTTTGCACATTTATCCGGTTGATCTATAAGTAGTGAATAATTTCGACATCTCAGATACAGTAGAAAGTCTTTAAATCTGTCTGGCAAATTGCTGAAACCTGAAACGACTGACATGACCCTCAGGTCAGGTTCACAAAAATTTAGATGGCTTATGTTGGAAAACCCGTATACTTCCCCCGTCTGGTTGGCCAACATATTCAAAATGGGATTGTACCGCCTGTTCAGCTTCTCTTGTTCTCTGTTCCAATATGCCACAGGGGGGTCAGATATCTTCCAGAACTTTTCTTTGGGTATTATTACTTCCCCCTTTCCATTTTTTTCTTGGCTGCTGCTTTTGGAGACTTCCACAATCAAATAAATGAAGACATTAACCATCATCAGGATACCCAACAATTTTATTCTTCGACGTCCAACACTCATTTCTCATATCTGGAATAAAAAGGAGGAGCATTGTATTAATTAGGTACTTATTAATTTGCATTTGCTGACATATGTCACTTGCCTCTTTGTCTTTATCTTCTTTGGAATAGTGGTTTGGAACACAGATTCGAGGCTCATACTGCCTAGGTTCAAATCATGGCCCTACTATTCTAGCTCTGTGACTGTGGGCACGTTGTATAACTGATGTCTCAGTTTCTCCATCTATAAAATGGGGAAGATAACTCACTTCATAGAATGGTTGCATATGAAAAGCTTTCGAAACAGTAGCTGGCCCACAGCAAGCAGTACGTAAGTGACTGTTAATAGAGTGGCTGTTTTAGACACCTGAAGGCAAAGATATACATTTACTAAGTAACCCCACAGGTGTTCAACTGCCTTGCTTACAAGGACACACATACAAACCAGTGTGTTGCAAACTGATTCATTCACAATTCATAACAAATACATTTTATATTGTGACCCAGTTCACACACAGAACTGTATTCATGTGTTACAATGTGTGAGTTTCCGTGTAATTCACAGATTTTTTTCTATTTTGTTTCATTTCATTTTTTAGAAAATGGTAATACCAACCCTGAATTGTTTCTCAATCCACACTTTTGTAGATGAGGAAACCAAGGCAGAGAGATTAAGACGCTTGGCCAGGATTGCAGGGCTAGGAGTTGGATGAGACTGAGTATTAAGAGAAACAAAATGACAAGACTCATATTGGCTTTATCCTACTGGCCAAAAACTGAGGACAACCCAAATACCACCAACAGAAGAACGGACTGTCAAACTGTAGTATTTCATACAATGGAATAACCCCCAGCAATAAAACTACTACTAGCTACAACAGTACACTGTGCATGAAAGACAGACCACAGGGGCACTTGGCTGGCTCAGTCAGTAGAGCATGCTACTCTTGATCTTGGGGTCGTGAGTTCGAGCCCCATGTTTGGTGCAGAGATTACTTAAAATAAACAAACAAAGAAATGTTAGGGGTTTTTTTTGTTTTGTTTTCGTTTTTTTAAAGAAGACCTCAAATTCCATATATGTTAGGTTCAAGAAGGCAAGATTAACCTAGGATCTAAAAACCTGAAAATGATAGAGATAGAGGTTTTGACTGGAATGGGGCAGGAAGGAACTTTCCAGAGAACAGAAATGTGGTATGTATATCTTGGCCTGGATGAGGGTTTCATGGATGTACACATTTGTCAAAACTCAAATTGCATACTTAAGATCTCCGCTGTTCATAGCAAAACGAAAAAGGGAAATGAAAATGACATTTTCGTGAAATATCAAAGGCCAAGAATAGATTTCAGGCTGTGGGCAACAGAAGAAAGAGCAATAAAATAGTTTATTTGACAGGGATGTAACTCCAGAGTTCGAGCACTACTGTGATGGATGACTTATACAAGAAGCATAAACTTGACAACCCAAAGAAATAGGAATGGTAATACACTGCAAGGAATGTTCTTACCAGGTTAATTCTGTCACTGAGAATCTATCCTTAGAAAAGAATTCCTAAGAAGTACTGTGTCCCAGGCATTGTGTAATACCTTACTTGATATAGTGAATCTATGAAGTAGGTGTGGTTACCTTTATTCCCATTTTATACCTGAGGAAACAGATTTAAAGAAGTAACTGTTACAGGCAGAGCTGGAATCCCAGCCAAGGCAACCAGGTTCCAAGGCCACCAAATCAAAGGGTAGTTAGTCAGTCTCCTCTGACCTCTAGAAACAAAGCTGGGTGCCTATTTCAAAGAATAGTGTTTATTATTTTTTTTTAATTTTTAGTGTTTATTTTTGAGAGAGCAAGCGAGCGAGAGCATGAGCAGGGGAGGGGCAGAGAGAGAGGGAGACATAAAATTTGAAGCAGGCTCCAGGCTCTGAGCTGTCAGCACAGAGCTCGATGCGGGGCTGGAACTCACAGACCACGCGAGATCATGACTTGAGCCAAAGGCAGACAGTTAACTGACCGAGCCACCCAGGAGCCCCTATTTTTTTTTTTACTATAAGAAGATATTTAAGTTTACTGGGTTCTAACAGATAGTCCCAAGGTAAAAGTATTTGTTATGCTGAGAATGCTATGAAGCTATCACATGTTGGGACAGCCCAGATGAGATGGGTTGGAATTCACAAGTTCTTTTGAGTCTTTTAAAATCTGTTTAGTAGGTCCTCATCTAATTGCTTCTGTTTATGTGCTCGCTTCGGCAGCACATATACCAATTGCTTCTGTTTACCACTGCTCAACAGCTTTGATTACAGACAAAGAAGTAAAAGGTGTTTAAGAAAAACAACAGGGGGCGCCTGAGTGGCTCAGTAGGTCGAGTGTCCAACTCTTAATTTGGGCTCAGGTCATGATCCCAGGTTTGTGAGATCAAGCCCCGCATTGGGTCTCCAATGAGCATTGAGCCTACTTAAGATTCTCTCTCTCTCCTTCTGCCCCTCTCTCTCTCTCTCTCTCTCAAAAAATAAATAAATAAATAAAGTATATTAAAACACACACACACACAATGGCCCCTACCCCATACTTCTAAAGCTTTTGCACATCTAGAAAACATGGCAGATGACCAAGTTATGTGGGTGCCCCCAACTCACCCAATAAGCAGCCCCCATCCCACTTCAAATCTCCCCTCCCTTCTACCTACCCCTCCAGAACCCCACCACTGAGCTACCAAGAAAGGGCCTTGTTAAATAAACTTCCTCCAGATAACGTAGTAAAAAACCACAAGACATTCCTTACTCCTTAATTCCAGTTTTAAAGGGCCCCAAGGCACACACAACCTGAATAATTCAAACACCCATACGCAGGTCTAGAGTCCACACCCTCCTCAGGTTAACTCCTTTAAAATGAGCTTTTGGGCAAACCTAATGATCAAACTGAAGGTCTCAGTCCAATACATCTTTGGCAACCTAAACCCCTTTACTCTGGGCCTTACTTGCAAGGACAAGAGAACTCAAATGGACACTTAGAATATACTTGCATGGGTACCTCATACAGTTAAAGAAATTGCCATCTTTTTAGAAAATAAATCATAATTTTAAGGGTTGTTTTTTGTTTTGTCTTTTTTTTTTTGGCTTCTAAATTGAAACAAAATAGTTTTCAAAAACAAGCAATTTTCTCTAAATTGGGATAACTCTCCTACAGCTACAGTAGCATTTGACCCAGTATCTCTGATCTCTACATCTTGGGCACTTTATGTAAACAGCTTGAAGGAAGGGCAATAAGGAAAAGTATGAGGGTGAATGGAGAAAGACTACAATGAGGACAAAGATTTCGAAGGTACTCAAGAAAAAAACAGCACGCACTATGGGGCAGCTAACTACATTTTCAACTCAGAACTCAGAACTACATTTTCAACTCAGAACTCAGAACTACATTTTCAACTCAGGCATTTTCAACGTTTTTATTTTTTTTATTTTTTTTTATTTTTGGGACAGAGAGAGACAGAGCATGAACGGGGGAGGGGCAGAGAGAGAGGGAGACACAGAATCGGAAACAGGCTCCAGGCTCTGAGCCATCAGCCCAGAGCCCGACGCGGGGCTCGAACTCACGGACCGCGAGATCGTGACCTGGCTGAAGTCGGACGCTTAACCGACTGCGCCACCCAGGCGCCCCAGGCATTTTCAACTCAGAAAAGGAATATGGCTATCAGTAGACTACTTCTGAAATTTCTAGAGTAAAAGAAGTCAGTTTAAAGAAGAAAAAAGGAAAGCACAGTACTTTACATAGCAGGTTGTGAACCTCTAAGTTAATTTTCCCAGGGAAAGATTCAGAGTGAATAAGATGGGAGACGATCCCAGATAAATGAGCTGCATGAGCTGGTTGTACATCCAGGTTATGGGGCAGGGTTATGGCTATCTGGAGTCCAGCCATAACTGTCTGAAGTGATGCTCTGAAGTTTCTATCACGAAAAGCACCCATCCTTCTTTCGGGAATATTTGGAGGAATACATCAGGCTTGCCACCCAACTTCATCCACTGCAATTCAGGCTTTTATTTCCATGATCAAGACCCAGACAGGACTTCCCACCACCTCGGGCAAGACAGAGCTTTACGGCTCTCAAAGGGACACCATCCTCACTTTATTTACATCTGCTCACGGATTCCAGGCTGAAGGGCATGTTCCTGCCCATGTCCCATCTGCACCCCTAAGGGAAGCTGAAAGGACAGCGCCCTAACATTGAGAAAAATGGAGGCTCGGAGAGGGTTAACTGAGCTGCCCAAATATTATATAAGAGTTAAGTGACAAGGGTGAGAGGATACAGTTTTTCGGTTTCCAATCCAGGGCTCTGTGGATCTCCTCCTTTTTCTACAAGGCACAGCCACATTCTTGTAATCTGACCCTGGTCAACAGCAAGGTTACGAGGGCTGGCTCAAGACTGAAAAAAACCCAAAGCACAGGAAAAGTCTGTTTGTTAGCTCAAATGTACCAAGGTACATTTGATCATTACTAAGACTCTCCAAAGAAAAGGAAATGCGAGTGCCTAGAAGCTCCCAGCCCCCCTTCTGAGAATGGGCCAGCCTTACTTGTCCAAATTCCCAAACATGCAGCTCAGGCTAACGCTTACCCACTACTTGCTAAAGGACATTTTCTTCCAACCTGAGAAAAAAAGATGGGAAAACCAAGATTCTCAACTATAGTTTTCCATGAAGTTTAAAAGTCATCTTTCATTTGTGACCTGGGCACAGTCCCTCTCATGAGAACTCTGCTTTTGGTAGACTCTTACTACAAACCAAAGTTCATGGAAAGGAGGACAAAACAGTGACCCCCATAAAAATATCTGTGGGAAAAAGCTCTCTGAATATCTGACTAAATATTCCCATTACAGACATAAAACCAATACGTGTCCTTTTCTGAGCAGGAAGTTACATTGCTTAAAAAGAATTTGAGTAAGAAAACTTACCCCAAAGCTGGGCAAGATGTTATACAACTCTGACTGTGAAACACAGAATTTTTCTTATGAGTAACAGAAATAGGAAGAAATCCCAAATGCTAACAAC